TTTGGTCATTGTTGTTATAATTTTCTCGATTTTGACAGGGACCAAATGGACATATTGCGTAAAATACAAAGACCAAATTGACACATTATTTGACTTTCCGTTAAATTAACTTAAGAACTGTTATTTATTAGACTAAAATGACACAATCCAAAAAATTAAGGGGCAAAATCAAGCAAATTGAAATAACATGGACCAAATTGGCACATCGTGTAAACTATAGGGACTATTTGCATAATTTTCCCTAATAAATATCTCATATTTTTTTTAACCATTTAAGTGTAAAAAAGTAATAATTTGGACCACAATATTTAAAATTATATCACTTTCAGATTCCTAACAAAACCAAATGCTTAAATAATTTTTTTTTTTTTTGGTTCAATGCCTAAATAACTTTGATACAAGGATTTTATTACTAGTAATTCCAATACTAGCAATGAGATTCTCATTCCCCTAAAATTTTTGTCATTCAAATATGACTTAAAGATAACTTATAGGCAGCCTAGAATAAAAAAATAAGTCCAACAAGGAAAGCAAGTAATAAATTTTGAAAAATTAAAAGATACTTTAAAGTAATTTCCAAGGAATATAATTGATATATTACTTATGAACTGATTTAAAGCATCTTTAACTTTTCAAAATTTATTATTTACTTTGATTATGGAACTTCCCTCAATCTTTTTAGTAAGTAAAGAATTTGAAAGGTCTATTTAACTAGTCATCATTCATACTTTTTAGTTGCAAAGAAACATTATTATTACTTCAGATTTAACAAAAGATCTACTTGTTTTTGTCAGTCAATAATAGTTGGTCCAATTTGATTTGAATAATATTATCTCCACATCATCCAACCAACATTGTCAGGTATTTATAATTAGTTTTTTATTCCATATTTTCTTTTATTGTTTTGTAATTGTATATGTAGAAGAATTCCACAATACACGCTCTTTATCATATGCATTTTTTGTTATGTCATTTTCTTCTTTAGTTATAACATTATTTTGATATGTTTGCTTATGTCTCATGTAATATTTGGTTATGATTTTTTTTATTTATAATTATAACTTAAAAAATATGAAATTATATCATTTTCTTCTTTAGTTATAAAGTAAATGTGATACATACTCTTTGAAAAGAATACAACCATTTGTTGAGAATAATTTTGACAAAATAAAAGCGCTCCATTTCAACCGAAGAGATTCTTATATTGATAGATATCAGAAAACACAAAATCATAAAAATAAATAAAAGTCACTATCCACATCTGGGCTGGGGTGGGTTTCGACGGCTATTGGTCCGATGGGTGTCCAATTTATTTAGGTTGTATTTAGTTGAAAGATTTGATAACAGAAATGACAAGGGAAACAAAAATAAAAAGAAAAGAAGAAGAACAAAGAAGTTATAGCGATTCTGGTAATCCCTTTACTATTCTGTTGCATTCCGGACTCGGTTCCGTGGAATTGGTAGTTGTGTCTAACTTGTTGTCGTCCTTTAATTCCATTTATTTGAGTTTTAGGATGTGTTGGGCTTGGTTGTTACAGGTTGGTAGAGCTTTGGCTCCCATTGCTGTTGCCCAGTTTTTTAGTGGTCCTCTCGAGCAGGTCATTTTACGCTCGAGCGGGGTTTACACCCTTCCAGCATTTCGAGTCCCTGCAAAACTTCTGCAGGGGTGTTTTCTACGCTCGAGCGGGTTTGTTGCGCTCGAGCGGGATTGTTGGCGCTTGAGCGGGTAGTACCTCGTTGGTGAAAGTTTTGAGAGATGAAAATCTACGCTCGAGCGGACTGGTTTTCACGCTCGAGCGAATGTACTTTATTCTTGTGTCTTGGCGCTCGAGCGGGACTTCTTGCGCTCAAGCGGACCTAGATTTTTTGTTCTTGACGCTCGAGCGTTGTGTTTTCCACTCGAGCGGGAATGTCATATAACAGAGGGCAGCTGGGCATTTTTGAATCATTTTCTACACTTCCTCTCTCTCTTACTTTTCCAAATCTCCATTTGAGAGCTTCTCTCTCTAGAAACTCCCTTCTCTCTAGGGTTTGATCTAGTTAGAGTGCTCCCCTCCCCTTTGGCCTTTGTAAAAATTGTGTTGATCGTCGAGGGCTACATTTTGATCCGAGAAACTTGTGATTTGGAGCAACTTTGTTTTCGCCATCTTCTTCTTTGGGTGTCATCTTTTGAGGAAGGGATTCCTACTCACTCTTATGGTCTTTGACATAGATTTTTGGTCATTTTGATAAAGTGTTGACGTTGGGTAGTTTTGGGACATAAGGTTTCAAAAAGTTAAAAGGGAGTTTTGCTATTTTGATTCTAAAATGTGTATCTTGGGTTTCAAAATAACGAAATTGTTGTTGGTTGTTGATATATAGACCATTCGGTCAATATTGGGAAATGGGGTAGAAAACCCTAATTGGTTGTATAAATTAATTGGTATAATTAATTTGGAAAAATTGTGATTATATGGAATTGAGTTGGGAATAATAAAATTGGTTCATTGGTTGAATAGTGGAGTTAGATTTATTAATCGCTCACTTTTGAAAACATTGATATTTTATCTGTTGGAGCTTTTATTATCTGTTTAGAAATAATTGCTTGGGCTACCGGTGGAGGGTAGTTTTGATTGTTGTAGACAATGCATGATGATTAGGCAAACTAAAACTAATCAATTGGATATGTCATAGAGTATGACTGTTGATAGAATACATTGACTTTATATATTGATTGATTGTGTATATGACCTATGTGTATATACGTTGTGTGTGTGGAAGGAGATAGGGGATGTACTCCACGGTTTAGAGGAAGATAGGGGATAGACCTCTAAACCGGATGTTGTTTGGGAGGAGATAGGGGATGGACTCCACTGATACAGCTCATATGCTTGTCAGTTAACGTGTTGATATAGCTCATATGCTTATCTGTTGAAGTGTTGATATAGCTAGTATGCTTATCTATTGTGAAATGGGAAATGTTTAATATGAGTCGTTATCTCATGTAAACTGTTGGCCAGGTTCTGAGTCGTTATTGTGAATTATGAATTTGATAAGAAATGAAATGAAATGAAACATGGACATAGTGGTCATGTAATGGAAGTGGCTTATGAATTGATGTATGGGAGTCAAACGTTTATCAATTGCTAATGTCTTAGTTATTGCTCATACTGTGTTTAGCATATCTCTACTGGGCGTTGGCTCACCCTTTATGGGACATTATTTTCAGGTACAGGTAGTATGCCACCTCCAAGGACATAGCTTGGATGATGATGAGAGTTGAAGACTCTTTTTGTTTATTTTGTTTGTATTACATGTATATCAAGCCAAGGGCTTATTTTGTATAGAGTTAGTACTCTTCTTTTGTGTAACCAGGTGTTGACTTGGAAAGCTGTAAGCCCATAGGGCATTTGCTTTTGTTGTTAACATGTAATACCGTTGTAAGAACTACTCTGATGAATAGAAATGGTTGGTTTCTTTTATATCAATGCATGTCTAAAGTGATGGGTTTTATGTAATATTTTGAGGCCGTTACAGAATTAATAGGATTCGAATTTCAAACTATTATTGGTTAAATTGGGAAATAGAGAAAGAAAATAGTCTAAGTTAATTCAAAAAGTAGGATTGCATTTTGCTCTCATTTTCTTTTTTCATATATTTTTTATTATAACCAAACAAAAAGTGAGAATGTATTGTCATTTCTTTTTCCATTTCTTTCATCAAATCTTTTAATCAAACAAAAAGTGAGATTGCATTTTCATTTCCTTTGGTTCGTGGATTTAGGGAAGGAATTCGAAGAGAAAAAGAAAAATGTGTGTGAAATGTAATTATATTTTATTTATATTTCATCTATCTTTTTCTTTCTTTTTCCAAATCTCTCTCCAAATTCATGAACCAAACACAGTGTTAAGGTTATTTTAAAATTTTTAATGAAAGGACGTGCATAAAAAAAAATTGAGTTTTTTATTATTTTAATTAATTTTCAAAACAAATGTTAGTCCGGTCTAATTATTTTTTTATTTTTTTTGTTTAAGCTATAAAGTTGAGTTTAGTTTAGTTAAGATTTTGAACTTATTTCATTTTGAGTGAGTTAGACTTGAGATAAAGATTTTCATCTTGATTTGGCCTGGTTCAGCCCAACTCTTTACAAAATATTAATTTTAATTTTTATATTATTTAAATACGAAATAGATTTTCGGTTTTGATTTTTTTTAAAATAGTTATTTAAATTTTCAATCCATATTTTTTTGTTTTCATTGATTTTTTTTAAGCATTTTAATAATTTTTTTTAGCATTTTATATCTGATTAATCTAGATACAATTAAAAAATATATAATTTGTGCACTTTTTTTTTGAAAAAAAAAATCATTGAATATGAAAAAAAATACAAAATGTACGGAATATATATATTATATTTTTTTATATTTAATGAATTTTTGAAAGATTTTTATACAAATTTTATATGTTTTAAGTGTATCTAAATTTAGTGGATGTAAAAAGTAAAAAAAATTGATTGAAATGTTAAAAAATCAATAAAAAAATATGAATTGAAAACTTAAAAAATAGTTATTAAAAAATCAAAATCAAACAGAGTGATACTAGTAAAAGATTAAAATCTGTTTCTAACTACTCTTTTTTTAAAACAAAAAAATTATTTGAATTGTTAATTAAAATATATTTCTGACATTAGTAAAAACTGTTAATCGACTTGATGATTTATTAATAAAATGAGTCATTTGTTATCCATTTAGAAACTTAAAGGGGCATGATGTAATTTTTAAAACCACATGAGGCAATCTGTATTTAAATAAATCTCAAACGCGTATTTATAATTTATCCATAATAAAAATAGACACCTTTTTTCAAACCTTATAATTAATAAATATAAATTTCTGCTTGTATTAAATTTTTGTACACAATGGAAATCACTACGTGAAATCTACATATGCAAATAATAATAAATAAATAAATGTTTTAGGTCGGTGATATCACGTTTTCCTTCAAATTTAACAGATAATAATATGGAACAACTTATCATCTACATTGAAGAAAGAGAAGCTTTGGCCGATGAAGCAGCTTGTATCTTCAGGGTGCATGAAAGATTGCGTAATGCAAATGAAAAGGCATACACACCTATCCTAATTTCAATAGGGCCTTACCACCGTTGTCAACCCAAACTACTTGCCATGGAAAAATGTAAAGAGCATTATTTGGAATTGCTCCTTCAACGTAACAACAATCTGCGTAAGAAAGATTATTTAGACTCTATGAAAAAATTAGAAGAAAGAGCTTGCAAGTGTTATGCTGACCCAGTTGACCACCTCGATAGTGATGAATCTGTGAAAATGATGTTATATGATGCTTGCTTTGTTATTGAGTTTCTTTTTGGTCTGTATGAGTTTTTTGTTGTTGAGGATAAACATCAACAATCACATGTAGGTGATGAAGTCAAAGTATCATGGAAGATGATACAAATTTGCAGGGACTTGATGCTACTTGAAAACCAACTGCCATTCTTTGTTATATCTGAATTTTATGACATGAGTTGCGGCGTGGGCGTGACCCAAAATCCAAACCGGAATCATCCTGATACTACCTCCACCCTCACTCTCACCCTTACCATCACCCTCACCCTCACCTCCACCCCCACCCCCACCCTCACGAAGCTGGCTTTATTGCCTATCTTTCAGAACCTACCGAGAAGGATCGGTATTTCCAAAATCAATTTTGAAAATTTTTCTGTCTCTGAAAGCAAGAATTTTCTTGATTTGGTGCATAATGTTTCTCTTCCCTCCTCATCCTCCAGAGATGAATCAAATAACCACCAAAACAAGAATCAAACAACTTGCTTTAAAATGCCGTGTGTGATAGAGCTTTAGGATGCAGGTGTCAAGTTCGAGGCTGTAGAGGATGATAATGATGGGCTCAACCTCAGCATGTTCGATATACGCTTTGAACATGATCTATTTAAAATACCAAAGTTTACAGTCGCTGATTCGACAGAGACATTCTTCCGAAACATCATTGCCTATGAACAACATTCCTTGGATGACAAATCCAAATATTTCACTGATTATACGTATTTCATGGATCAACTTATCAACTGCAAACAAGACGTGACCCAACTTCGTCGCCATGAAGTTCTTGAAAACTGGCTTGGTGATGACGAAGTGGTGGCAGTTATGTTCAACGACCTGGGTATAGGAACTATCATTATGCTATCGTTCTACTACGCTGAACAGTGCAGCAAAGTGAACGCTCATTGCAAGAGAAGGTGGAACAGAGTAGTAGCTTCATTGAAGCGTGATTACTTCACAAATATGTGGGTTACTGTTGCCACTATTGCAGCTGCTTTTCTCTTCCTCCTCACTCTCACACAGACTGTCATTTCATTCTTCCTTCGTGCCCATGCCCGTGCCCGTCCCCATCCCGACACTGATGATGCTGTTTGCTTCCATTTTTTCATTTCAACAAAATATTCTGCATTTGCAAATGTAGATAGTTTCTATGTTTTTATTAATCTGAGTGAGAGTGAATGTGTTTTAGGGCAATTTATTAAGTTAGTTCATGTAATGTTTACTTTGCATACGAATGAGAGTATTGTTAATCATTTCTACGGATTGAATGTATGAGTTTATTTCCGCATGTTATCTCTGAAATTCGATTAAGTTAAAGAATTTGGTAATGACTCCAAGTAATAAATAGTGGGGCGTGACATCTCCAGTGAAGCAGATCTACACTAGACCAAAGAGAGGCAAATACCCCTCCTCGAAATTTAAAAAAATTATGTTTTTACCCATAAAAATTTAGAAAAGAATTTCAAATTGCCACCTCTTTTTGCCTTTTTCAACTAAACCCCTTTATTTCCCCCTTGTATATATTACTTTGAAGAGGAGACTATTATAGAGGTTGAACATCTAAAATGGTATCTAGGAAACTAAGAGAGAAACTGTCAAACCCATCTTCCTAGACATAAAAATCCAAATCTATACTATAGAAGTGTTTTTAAAACTCATTGGAGGGACATTGAAAATCACTAGAGAGAAGCTCTTGGATGCCCCCATGTATTTGGAAGTTTACGGACATATCCATAGATTTAGTATGGTGGTCTATAATCAGTACCATCATTATGTATAAAAATTATATATTCAAAAATTATATATAATCAGTAAAAATTATTTTTTTATATATCATTCAAAAAAATAATAATTATAAATTATTCAATTTATTAGATTTATCACAAATCATAGTATCAATAATATGAGAGGACAAATTGTGATTACTAATAATATGTGAGTCCCCGATCAAAAAATTAATAATATGAGAGTCCTACAAAACTGTGGTCTCATATTATTGCCTTAATTAATGTCGCAATAAAATAAATAAATAAATCAGTGTGCAATACAAAACAAAATGCAACACAGAAAAAGCTTATTCACCCAAAAACACAGAAAAAGTTTACATCGCTTTTATGCCTGGTAATTTGATGCAAGCTACCGTTCCTAGTTACACCTGGCCAGATTAGTTACTTATTAATTTGGTGCTTTTAGTTTTAATTAGTTTAATTTCTATTTTAAATTTTAGATTTTATCTTAATTTATTTAATTGATTATAATTTTTTTAATAAAAAATTCACTCATAAATCACATGTAACTATGTTTTTATAAATAAAATTGTAAGTTCTTAAACTTAGCAAGCTATCTTCAACTAATTTGGTATCTATTTTCTTTCAAAAATTCTAATTAACATTATTAAAAGGTTTTTCTTATTGATAAATCCCATTTGGACGTATTCTAACCCAATAAGTCCACCAAGGAAAATTATAACCTAGTTAGTCTCATGTATTTATATTTTTATTCCGTGAGGTCATTTTTTCTTGATTTATATTGTTTGTTAGACTATTATACCCTTATGTTTATTATTGATATGTATTACATAGAAAAAGAATATAAACATTTTGTTTTTTGTCACTACCTCTATTTTGGTAGTTATGATTATTTATGTTTTTTCTTTTTTATCAGCTTTTTTCACATTTGTTGTAATGACTCGGATTTTAATTCGCATTAGATTGATGTAAAGTGGTGCCCGTCACCTTAAAACTTGTACGGTTGTCGGACTCTTGATATTGATGGGTTGGCAAGTGAACTTTAAATATTATAATTAGGACCCTTGGGTGATGTTTGGAACCTTGATTGAAGCCTTAACAAGGTATTTAGGTAAGATTAGATAAAAAGCCCCAAGTTTGAGTTTGAGTTTGAGTTTTTGACCAGCCATCACTCTTTTGCCCTTTTCTCCTTCCATACTTTGAATTTGAATGTAAGGCTGGACCCATTGGAAATCTTGTTTCCGGGGCTTCAATTTGGACACAAGAACGACCTAAAACGGAGTCCGAACGAGAGAGTTACACCTGTTTGAATTTTGAGTTTCTGTGCTGAAAGCATGCTCACTCGAGCAAAAATTTTTTCGCTCGAACGGCCAAGTCGCTAACAGACAGTATAAAGTGATATTTTGGCCCAAAAACTTCATTTTTTCATCCTCTCTTCTTCTCCTCTCCTCCATGTCCGAAACCCTAGCCTCCAAAACTTTGATTTCATCCATTCTTACCAACAATCCACCATGGATCTTGCATCAAGGTTCAAGAACAAGCAAGGATCAAGGCGTTGACCGATTATTTTGGGGATTTCATTGAAGTTTGAAAATGGGTCTTCACCCATAGCTTCCAATCTTGAGGTAGGGGTCCTAGTTCTCCTTCAATGCATACATTAATAGATGGATTTGTGCTATTTTGGATTATATAAATGCAAAATCTACATTTTGAGCATATAGTGTTAAATCATGAAATTTTGGGGTTAGGGTTTGAAATGTTGGGGTTCTATTATTGGGTTTAGATTATGGATTATAGACCTAGGGTGTATAATCAATGGGAAAATTGGAATAAAAAGTAAAGGTTTAAGAAGTTTGAATTTTTCTTGAAATTTTAGATTTTTCTTGAAAACCCTAAATTGATTCATGATGATAAATAATGAGATTACCCAGATTGAAAGTAGAATCATGAAATTGAGGTATTGAATTGTATATATACAAGTTTAATTGAATTTTGGAAGTGTTTGAAAATCATGTTAAAAATTAGCGATTGAACCTTATTTATGGATATTGTAAATCATGCTATGATATGAAATGAAATTTGGGAAAAAGGATTAGTTAATGATATGGATAACATGAGCCTTGGGATGAAATGATGAAATCAAAATTTAGGAGTACACTTTGAATTATAATTATAATTAGTGGTGTTGAGTTAAGATATGTTGAATTTTGGTGATTATGTGGAATTGTATTGATTATGTTGATTTTGATTTTTGTGATCTAAAATGTAGAGTTTCCGAAATGGGTTTAATCTCAAATCATTTTATTAAATTCCTAGTGGGCTTGTTTAGTCATTCAACTTAAGAGGATTATTGAATGGGGTTTCTTTATGGGGATGGGAAATGTTTGGCTTTTGGTGAAAACCCTGGAAATTTAGAGATTTTTGGGGAACATGCATGGAAATGTTCATAAAACTCCTTTCTTTCTTTGAATAGAAGATGAATGGGTGTAAATTCCATAATGTGTTTTGCACAGAATGGTAATCTTTTAAATTATTATGAGTTACAGAGAAATGGTTTTGAAAACTTCATGTGTAGTCCTTGATGAGACCATGTTGCTATGACTTGTGAAATGAGGAAGTTGGGATATGGTTGACTTGAGAAGGAATGTTATGAACCATGGAAATTTTTGCATTGCATATGCATTTCATTATTATTGTGCATTGGTGGTTAAAATCGAAGAGATTTCATTCGATAAGAAATTGTATTGTATGAGAACTAGGAAGTGTGTAGGGGTAAATACAGTGGGTAAGTCCAGTTAGGGGGGTGTAGATAAATTTTGTAAGTTGGCCTGAGTGTCCCATGTTGAAAGAACCCAGA